TTTAGCTATTGTGTCCGGTGTTAAAAAGTTTCACGACTATGTTATGGGCGGAGGTTTACTATTATAACAGATCATAAACCTTTACTGGGTCTGTTTACCAGCAATACTCCCACTCCTCAAATAATTTCACCACGCATTCTCAGGTGGTCCCTTATGCTAAATGCCTATGATTGTAAGTTCAAGTATTGTCCTGGCAAGGATATCACACATGCTGATGGATTAAGCTGATTACCTTTGCCTTCTCCTGACTTCCATGTTCCTCCTATGTCTTAGGTCCTCATGTTGGAATCCATTCCAAACCCTCCGTTACATGCAAGTGACATTGCTTGTATGTCTGCCAAGGATCCTTTGCTGTCCCGTGTGCTCAACTGGGTTTGGAGGGGGTGGCCAAAATCAAAAGTGGAAGACAAGTTCAAACCATTTGTAGTGCGCCAACATGAACTATCTGCCTATAAAGGGTGGCTATTATGGGGAAACAGAGTGGTAATTCCAAATGCAGGACAAGCTCGAGTATTGCATGATCTTCATGAAGGACATCCTGGAATAGTTCGCATGAAAGCTTTAGCCAGAAGTTATGTTTGGTGGCCTAAAATGGATGAAGTTATTGAAAAGTGGGTAAAGAACTGTGTACCATGCCAATCTACTCGTCATGCTCCACCTAAATCCTCAGTACATCCTTGGGAAGTGACTAGGTCACCTTGGTCCCATTTACACATAGATTTTGCTGGCCCTTTTCACGGACAGATGTTTTTTTTAGTTGTTGACTCCTTTTCAAAATGGTTAGAAGTTGTTCCAGTTACATCTGCTACCTCAGTCACAGTCATAAAGATTCTAAGAAGGCTGTTTGCTACACATGGGTTGCCAGATACAATTGTGTCTGATAATGGAACATAATTTACCTCATCAGAATTCAAAATTTTCATGGCAAGTAAACTTATTCGACATGTTACGATTGCACCATTTCACCCATCATCAAATGGTCAAGCTGAGCGTATGGTTCAGACTACCAAAGACTCATTAAAGATAATTATTGAAGGAGATTGGAATCGTAGACTTGCAAATTTCCTTCTGCAACAACATGTGACACCTTGCTCAAGCACCGGTAGTAGTCCAGCAGAGCTCCTTATGAACCGGCGTCTTAAAACTTGTCGGGATCGTTTTGTCAGAGTATTTATATCGGCAGACATTTTGTGCTATGATAGAAACTAAAAGTGTATATTCTGAGTCACTCTGAACAGACCAGACTCCATTTTGTTATTTCAAGTTAACAAAGAGACACAGTATTTCTATCTGTAAGTTAACCACTTTCCCAGAGCTGAGGAATGCATAGTATATACAAGACAAGTGATAAGGAAGGGGGTTGGACAGACTGTCTAATGCTAATGGAATATAATCAAATCTAAACCCAGACAATTGTGACAGAGAAGATTAAATAATTTAATATTTAACTGTCTATACATATAAGGTACCATTGTATGGAAAAGGGTAAACTTAGTTCATGATCTGCCATATCAGAAATTATAGCAGATTTGCAGACACATAGTCTGGACAAAATTTAAGAACCCCTTTGATCTTTGGAGGATACGTAAGTTATAGCCACTATCTAGATAGGCCAAAATGACGTCAAAATAGCCACCAGGAAAAGTTAACTCTTTCCTGGATAGGTATGTTTAGTGGGACAAGACTGCCCTCTACAGACCAAATACCTAATTTGCGATCTGGAAGATAACCACACCTCTAGTGCTTCTATTGGGTTATCAACTGATGACGTACAGAGAGTCTGGCCCTTTAAAAGTTAAGACAAAGGGAAGATAGAGATATACACGAGAGGAGGCAGATGCAAGATATGCAAAGGAGAGGAGAGAGGAATTGGAAGTTTGGGGATTCCAACTCGGACAACATCTGAGACTAACACTCTACTCCTAAAACTCTAACACTTAGAATTTACTGACTTTCTAACCAACACCTCCATGCAGAGAGACTACCAATCGGATGAAATATCTACTCAACTGGTAATTATACTGGTTTCATTTAATTAATTAAATTAATTAAAATGTATTAATAGCATTATATATATGACTGGATAAAGCACGGTCAGATTTCCATATTAAGAAATCTTAGTTAACTAAGAATATATAGTTATAAATATTCCATTCTGCAGGTGGAATTAAGAATAATTATATATTGATGTGATATTATCATGTGTTAGCATACCGCTGTTTTTATCCAGGTGTATTGATTTGCTCTAATTTAAGATAGATATCTTTTAGACAAATTAAAATCTGCTTATATAATATGTAGATTCTCTTATTGGATGGTTTAAGAAAATGAATTTAAACTGGTTTAAATGTTATTTTATTTAAAAATTACATAAGAATAGATCTTAACTACCTAGGAGATCTAGCCAGCATTGAAAGGGTTATTCTAACTGTCTGCTAAACTTTACGACCTTATGCTGCATTCTGAGGAATTCTGTTCTTCGCTGTGAAAAGTTTCACTTTCAGCCTGTGTTAAAGATAGTCATAAATAATTCTTGACAGGAAATGCTATTTAGCCATTGTAACGTAATACCCATTTCTTTGTATTGCATATAATTTTATACTGAATATTCATTGATTATTGTTATACATGTTACATATAATATTATTATTATTAATTTGTCATCATAAATAAAATCTATTTTTATACATTGTGAATATTATTTATATGGTATACATTTCACTTAACACGATAAACGTTCTTTGGGATCTGAGAATTGAATTAGTGGGCAATTCTCAACTGTTACTATTATTATCCCATAAATATCCCCACATATTGGAGGCACGGTGCTGAGATCGTTTAAGTTGAAATTGTATTTCATATATAATAATAATATTGGTGTAATTCATGCAATTTAATCTTAATATAGAAAAGAGTTTTGTATTGAGATTAATCAATAAAATAAAAATGGCCAGTGGCAGTGATAAATCTGTAACAGATAATACTGAAATAATTGAAGACCTAAGAAAACATGCTCTAGTTCATATTCATAAACATATGAAAAATGATGCAACCTATGAGGTTTGGTTGAAAAGCATAGAATGGGAAGCTAAACAAACCATTCTAACTGATGAACACATCATCATATATCTTAAAGAAATTGCTGAACAAAAGAACATAGAAAGGAAAATGGTGTACATAATACACTCTTGGCCTTTCTTTATGACAGCACTTCTTAAGGTGTGTGATGAAAACAAGTCATTGAATGCCAAATTGGACACGTACAGTGACGATCTGGGCATTCAAAATGGGAAATACCAAGATTTACTTGCTGAGCATAAAACACGTCAGGCTGATCATGAAAAAGAAATGAAAGCTTTGATGGATAAATATGCACAGGAAATGAATCAGCTTAAAATGCAATTGGATGAGTATGAAAAGGAGAGTCAGAAATTAGACAGTGAGGTTGGTAGTCATCATTCTGTGCCAAAAAGTTGCACAAAAATGCAAGAAAGGACTATTTGTAAATCCCCTCCTTATTATAATTTTCCCACACCAAACCAGGTTTTCATAAAACAGTCTGTAAGAAAAGAGGTGAGTAATTCTGAGAAAACACCTGTAGGTTCTTGGCAATCTTGGGCAGAACAGTTTGAAAAGACTGTCCTGGCCAAGCTTGACAGAAAGAATCAGATTCAAGGTGATAGGAATGAAAACAGACATGGTTCTGTACACTGGCAGAATTCTGATGCAGATCAGAGTTGTGACAGTGAACAAGAAGCTCAGAGTGATGGGAGTGAAAGTGATTGCACTATCCACTCTGAAGGCCATGTAACTGATATGCCATCTGCACTGTTGTATGGGTCTAATTCCTCTTCAGCAGACAGATCGCATAGACGTTTACCCAAACACAGAAACAGAGATCGTAAATCAACGACGCCTGTTTATGAAACACCAAAGGTCATCAAATTCCTTAGAGAGACTGTCCCACAATTTTCTAGAGGTTCAGGAAACATATCTGAACATCTGGAAAATTATGATAGAGCAATGAATTCATTGGGCATGTATGATGACATTCATAAGAAATGGTTCATTACATGGACCTTTGATTCAATGTGCCGTGTTTATCTAGAAAGTCTTCAAGCTATACAGTTAATGTCCTGGTCCAAGATGAAATATGAAATAATCATGGAATATGGTAAGTATAAAACTATTGCCTCTGCAAAGAGGGCGCTTTATAACTTAAAGTGCCGTCCAGATCAAAGCCCCAGAGAATTTTTAATAATTCTTAAAAATGCATACTCCGTGGCCCAAAGGAAACCCAGGTATGAAAGCACAGACTTCAAAGATCTGTATTTTCATGCCATGCCAGTAAACATACAAATGAATCTCGCAAGAGATTACGATTGTAAGTTACCATTAGAATGGCTAGTCAGTCAGTGCATGAAGTTGTATACTATACACCATGCACATGACGAAAATCAGCCAAAGGTTAAGAAACCTGGTGATAAAATGGTGTCAGAGACTAAAATTCAGTTAGGTTTAGAAACCCAACAGAAAAAGAGGACCTATTCCGAGGTTTTGAAAACTCCAAAACCTCAGAAACAGGAAAATGCCGGAAGCAATTCTGCAAATTCCTCTAATAACTCTGAAAAATCCAATGCCAATGGGAATAAACGCCCCTGGGTTAATAAGAACCAAGGCAATTCCCAATGGAGAAGGAATCCTCAGGGAAATAGGAGATATGGAAACAGAAATAACCAATCTGCTTCCAATAACTCCCAACAGTCTCAGCCATCCCAACCAAATTCTAATGGGCAAAGACAAAACGGCAATGGGGGAAATAATTTGCGTCGTCAGGTTGGTCAATTGACAGACCAGATGGGCAAATTAATGGAGGGAATGACAAAGATTAACGAAGTCTTTGCCAGAAATCCTTTTTTAGGGATAGCTCCAATTGCAGAACTACCTGTGCAACCGCAGCAACAACAACAGGTGCCGCAGCAATAATAGCCACTGTGACTAAACAGGCTAGGTTATCAGTAGATGTAATGCCTAACCCTGTTTCCTTTCCAGGTACTAACAGTCAAACAAACAATAGTTGTGTTAGAAAACCTATTGCCTATACCGTCACTTCACTTCCGGGTGAAGGAGGCGCAACGTGTTCCTCTGTTTTTTCATTTCAGCCAAAGGCTAAAGTAGCCCCAGCAACCACTAGTTTCCAGGATCCAGACCTGAAAGGGTTAACTGATGAGATGCCGACCACTAGTTCCCGCTTGACAGTTCAAGATATTCCTAAAAAGGATGGGCCTGTGGGTAAGACTGAGCATTCCTCAGTACAGGTAGAAACTACTGCTGTGACCGGTAATGTATGGAAAACAAGTAATATGTTGACACATTCTAAATTCTTATGTGAATTAGAAGAACATGAAGGAAGGTATTACATGTCTGTAGAAATACAGGATTCGTTACCCCAGCCTTTTAAAGGGTTAATAGATACTGGTTCACAAGCCACTATCTTATCCAATACCTACTTCCAGCAGGTAATGGACTTAGCAACGGATAAGCCGAAGCTAAGAGATTTCCCCAATGCTCTGTTGAGTGTAGGAGGAAATGCCCTTCATGTTATTGGCAATACCTGGTTAAAGTTTAAAATAGGTAACAAAACCTTTAGACACCCGGTGATAGTGGTAGATCTCCCCTATGACCGACTGATTCTGGGTATAGACATACTCAGAAGACTTAACACAATTATTGACTGTGTAAATGGAATTGTATGGTCACAAGCTAAGGTTCCCATAACCTATGAGAAATCACATGTTCAATCTGATCGTAACTGCCATGTGATAGAAGAAAGACCTGACTCGATTGAGGTACATTTTAGAAATAGTCAGTCACCTGACGTGACTATCCTGCAGGTGAATGATGCAATCGCACCTGTAGATGAGCATTCCATAAGAATTGCTCCAGAGAGGATCCAGAATGTCTCTCTGGAAGGTGATGTTTTAACCATTTCTCTCCACAGGGACTATGTTGAATCTGTAGATCTGGCAGGTCATGCTCAATTCCTTGCCAGAATTGAAAGGGTTAATAACAACTTATTCTTTCCTATGCAAATAAATGACTTAGGAAGAAGTAGGAATGCAAAGCTGGACTTAAAGAGTGAGAACAGCTATATTAGCAGAAGTCTGTTAAAGCAGATCGCTAATCCTAAAATGATCAGGTACGCTTCCCCACATGACAGGTGGATCCAGAACCTGGATGGCGAATCAGAGAGTCACAATGTGATAGCAAAATGTTTACTATCTATTTCCATCGGAAATAAGACAGTTAAACATTTATTCCTAGTGATAGACGAACCTCGCTATCAGGTTTACGTTGGCAATGATGTCATACATCGCTTTGCCATACACCTTGACCTGATTAATTCCAACTTGTGGACAAGGTTAAAAGGTAATCCTTGTGGATACCTACACGAGGAAAACGCCCTGAAATCAGGACAAATACTCCCATATGCGGTAAGTATCCAAGTTCCTGATGACATAACCATTCCACAGGGGACAAGTAATTTTCTTTTACCCCTACAGGTCAAGGAGGGTCAGAGATTGGAAAACTCTGATGCCCTAATCTGTTTATCCAACAGGATACAACAATTAGGGATGGTGGTAACACATACACCAATGGTAAGTATTGGTAAGAATCCCACCTATATCATGGTCAACAATGTTACACCCAATAGTGTTACTTTACCAAAAGGAACATTATTAGGTCTAGCATTGGATGCTGAGTACTATACATTTGGTTTCCAAAACCAAATTATAGGCCTCATCCCTGAAGAATACTTAACTGAGGACGAAATTGTCGATCAAATATTCCATTCCTCCCCAGAAGGATTATTCACTATCCTATCTGTGTATCCCTTCAACGTTGAAGAAGGCTCGTGTAAAATCGAAGAAGCATCAATCACCTTCGATCATCCGCTCAATGAGCAGGAATCACAAGAGTATCACGACCAAAGAGAAAAGGTAAGTCAACACCGAACTGACCTAACTTCTAGGCTTGAAGAAGCTTATGAGATAGGCCAGCCTGAAATCTTTCCAGGATTTCAGGAAAGGCTAGAAGAGCAAATATCTTTAGCTGACGGTTGCTCCAACGATGCTGAGCGGCAACAGCTAAAGGAAATCCTTTTGGAATTCCAAGATATTTTTGCCAAAGATTCCTACGACTGTGGGTTAACTAACCTCCACGTAGCCAGAATACAAACTGATCCAAATTTACCACCTGTATTTATCAAACAATATAGACTCCCATTAGCGTCATATGATGGTCTACAAGACATCATTCAGAATTTAAAGGAAAGGGGCATTATACGTCCAGTGCACAGTTCGTATAATAATCCGATCTTGGGGATTCTGAAACCTAATGGACAATGGCGTTTATGCGCTGACTTACGACAGCTAAATAAACGCGTCTATATGTCTGGTTGGCCAACGCCATACATAGACCAATGTTTGGTACAAATGCAGGGATCCAAAATATTCACTGCCATTGACTGTGCGCAGGGATATTGGACTGTACCA